GAGGTTGGTTGATTTTCTGGATCTTACTGGATACTGAATTATCAGAATCAGAAGTGGAGTGTAATTCATTTGTTGTACTCGGTCTCGTTTCCTCTGATTCTTCTTGAACTGAAGCAGACGGTTTGCTTGGACCTGGTTGTGGAGATAATGGCCGAACTGCATCATCTTTTTTCTTAATTCCCAAAAATTTTTTCATTAATTTAGTATCTGATGGCCTGAAAAACAAAAAAATGATTTTAGCCTTTATTACAAAATAATTTTTGCCTCAATTAGGTATTAGCATATTTTTATTGTTAATGTTCATATTCAAAGTGCAAATACAGGGTGTTCCATTAAAAAAACTAAGTTAGGGTCATAGCTCTTGAACGACGCCTCTGATTTATTTTCGAGCACGCCATAGAATATGCAGACGTATCTATCTAAGCAGTTTTCACCTTTTTTCTATCTTATAGAGGGTGCGGGCTAACAGTGCCCTAAAACGTGAAATTTTTCGTTTTCACCCTGTATTTCAGTGGCAAAACGAGATTTCTTAAGATTGATTCTCACTATACATTCCGTTTCCATTCCGTAACCGTTCCGTAAATTATTGAAATTAAATATTCGCCTTCGCTTAAAGCAGCCTATTGCGTGTGTATGCACATTATCCGTAAGGTATATTGTGTATACAATCAAATTGTACTGAACGTTCACGAAACTGATATGGAATGGGAACGGAATGTATAGTGAGAATCACCTTTAATTCTGTTTGTAGCATTATTAGTTCAAACAGTTTCTGTAGCAAGAATTAGTGAATCCTAGTCAATACTTGCCGTTGCTAGATGGCGCGGTAGAATTTACTGACGGTTCCATACTAAATATGAATTGCATGATTATTATACATAAGGGCCTCAAAGGCTGAAATGCAAAGAAATTATAGTAGATGATTGCCTTTGTTGTTTCAGTTTTATTTTGTATTTCTGTGTAAGCTTTTATTTAAGGCGACATCTTGTGGGTCAATTCTTAAACTATAATTTACTTGTGTTATATAGGGACTTTCGCCATTCTTAGTATGGACGTTGGCAAATCCGATGTGAAATGTCAGTTCAATTTGATTTTGGGTAGCTACAAGAAAAAACAGCTACTTACACAAAAGCGCAATTTTGTAGCATTTATACTGTCGATTGTACCTGTACAACTTCAAATTCTATTAGGAGTGAGACAATTTTTTTATTTGTAGCTGCGAATATACGTTTTAATTGGACATCTTTAGGCAAAAAATGGAGAAGGCTGAAAATTGGCAAAGCAAATACTGTCTAGAGTCTAAACAACATCCTCAGCAGACTACTATTGCACTGTGCTCGTTTATGGAGCAGCAGAACTTCGTGGATGTAGCCATTTGCTGCGAAAAAAGGGTTCTACACGTTCATAAAGTGGTTCTGGCTGCTAACAGTGCCTTGTTTAAGGTGAGTAGATATTTCCCACAAATACATATGATCATGACTCATGTATTTTTATAGGAAGAATTGGATAAAAATTCATCTGTCGACCATGTGGTGATCACAGGATGTGAGTTTTCTGTGGTGAAATCCTTAGTGGAGTTCATGTACTGTGGATCGACTATTGTATCAGATGAACATCTCAAATATTTTGTTGCGGCAGCCAGGACATTACAAATGAAAGCATTGGAAAATCTGACACTTGGCTGCCCCTTACCTGGTAATTTATTTCATTAAGACATTCCAATTTTATTTTGTCTTATACAACGTACATGAATAGTTTATTTCTCGGATGCAATTAGAATAACGCAAAAAGTGACACAAGTCTTATGAAAAATTTCATATAGGGATCTCCTACGAAAATACGGTACTCGCAAATTAAGACACTGGAGACTGTTTTTTTTATTTCACGTGTCTCATTTATGTTGCAAGGGAAAGACTACCACAATATTGCTTATTTTTTATCACTCAATAGTAATGACTCAAGAGCGACATTTCTTGAAAAATGTATCCCCGATGGACGTTTTAAGATGAGTACATAGTTGCTTGGAGCTATTTATAAAAAATTGGAAACATTCTGAGGAAGCGTAAGTATCGGCGACAACAAAGAGTTTTTTGACTGCAACCAAAAACTTTTTTCAAAAATATAGCAGCGTTATCTACTATGACCATATCATATTGCTCCTCAAATTTCATTCAAATTGATTTAGGATGACGCAACGAATTCTAATATATTAGAAAGAGTCAAGCCTATATGTTTGTCGCCAAAATTAGGTACGTAGTTTTCGTGCATACTTTTGACTCACTTGACTACCTATGCCTAACAAAGTGACCGCATTGTACTAACACAATAATAATACTTACCGGTGGAAATTCCTACCTTCAGCAGGCTGGTGCTGCTCTTTGCAAATTATCTAAGAATAAGTACCATGTCTTGAGATCGTCTAATAACACCTCAATTATCTGCAAACACCCGCACTTCTAAAAAGTAACAGCAAAATATGAATTTAACGACAGAGATGTCAAAAAATTTACTTACGTCAAGTGCACTTGTAGTATACATACTACAGATTATGAAAATTAGGAGACAAAAAATCCTTGACTGGCTCCTTCGGCCTAGTCCGAATTCGGATGCAACATGCAGTGGAAAGATAGACCAAAATGAGGGATATTTTGGTGAAAAATCACCACACCTGGTAACCCTGATCAATTAGTAAGCACAACGATGCTTGCGTGGAAATAAGAGTGTGCGTAAGTCTGGTTGCCTATTCGTTCTGCTCGACGCAAATATGAATAAAATAGAGTTTTTCTGCATGTTTCGGCTTGGTAGTACTGTATGTCCGTTAGTGCGTTATGTGTTCTGTGAATAAGGTAGTTAATCGAAAATTTAGACATTCGGACGGGAATATAAGAAAAATCCTTTTCGCGCGCGCCTTTGACCCTGTGAGCAAACTTGATAAAAACACATTTTGATGGACAAAATCAGAGAAAAGCAGTCTCATCTGAATGAAAGGAGATAATAAAAAGTATGCATCAAGTTATCTAACCGTAAGAGTGATCAAATCTCGCACTCTTCATCTATCAGCTCAAAAGCTTATGCATTACTTAATACTTTTGACTGTTTTTATTTTTTACTCAGTATGATAATATTGTCTTAGTTTTATCATTAACATGGTGTTTCCCAAATATGGGGCAAGCATTTAATGTGTGACTCTTGGGACTATTCTGAAACTATTATATTTGATCCTCTCGATTTGCGAAACACCTCTTGATTCCGGAAAAATAGGACCCTAAAGGAAACGGCGTTGGAAATATGTTTTTCTTATACATGTGTATATATGTACGTATATATATCGCCGCTTAAGTTTTAACATCGCGTAACTCAAAAAATGGCGATATCATGCGTGTCATTCGATAGGAAATTTTGGTCGTTTAAAAACTTGTCAGTTTTGAGCTACGCTGTGTTAGAACATAAGTGATGATCCAACTAAAACTATCAACTCATTTAGCTCGCCAGAGAGCCATAAACGCAATATATTGCTAATTTTTTACACCTTTGTATAATAATGCCTAGAAAATAGTATTTTTGGAAATTATAACGTACTGTTCCATCTACATCATTGTAATACTACCTGTGGTTGTTTCAAGAATTGTTTGATTCTGATAACATCCACCGTTTTTTTTTAATATTCGTGGTTTTCAGGTCGCAAATTTTCAATACGAGTAAACCAGTAACGGTTCCATAATTTAGAAAACTGTACCAAAATAATAAGGGTGTTGTACTTCAAAACCCCAGAATGGCTCAGTGAATAAGACACACCCCTTCCCCTCCGGAGACAAAAATTCTCCTGAACATAAATCCTGTGACCCCTGACATAAATCCTGGTCCCTTGCACTATACAGGGTGACCTTGAAGTTGAGTCATTAATTTTCAGATAATGATTGTAGAAGGAAGATAAACCAAAATATGTGTGTAAAAATAAAAAAAAAATAAAAAAAAAAATTTACCTTGTTTTATAAAGTATCCTCCCGACAAGTATTTCAGTGCGGACCTGTATTTGATCGTGAGGTCCCCTGTGAGGTCTTAAGTCACCTGATTCACGAGCCGGTTGTACTACATTAACAAAGGCACGAGGGGTTGGTTGCACTCGATTGGGAAACCGATCCGCATAAACATGTTTCATTTTTTATTTCGTTTGAGCCACGCAACAGATACCACTATTCATTGACACTGACTGTATACAAATGAATGAAATAATTGTAAAAACATCGTTCAAAATTCTTTCGCTTTTTTGTTTCCGATGCGATGAACCGATACGGCGGATTATATCCGTTGTCGCCAAACACGAGCACATAATATTATCATTGAGACAGGGCGGTACTCAAACTTCCAAAGGGCTATAACTTTGTTACTTTAATTTTACCAGAAAAATGGTAAAGGAAAAAACATTTCCTTTAATCAGATCTACTCACTGTTAAAATAAATGACTCAACTTCGAAGTACTGTATAAAGCAGTATTCTTTCTCATAAGTCGATTATCGTCCTTCAAATGTCGCCTTTTACGTTTGCTTTTTCTTTTTCAGCCGACATGATAGTGATTCCCAAGCCCCAGTTTCTCTCCAAAAAGCCCAAATACCCTGCGCCAGTTTCGTCCAGCAATCTGTACATTCCCAACAAAGACGATAGAAAGCTCCGTATAGAAGCTGAACACCGAGCATGTGTTAAAGAAGCCGAGGCTAGTAGATCGGCTATTGCTAACCTGACAAAAGAGATCGTATCTGCTCCACATGCTAATACTTTCATCATTGACGAAACTTGCTCAGAGACCACAGTTGAGAATTTCATCTCGCATCCCACAGTAGGATTTGGTGCTGGTCAAGTGTTTTTGCCCACTGACCCAAATGTGTCGAACAATGTCATTCAGTCGACCATACCCAGTAGCTCTGAAGAACTTACTGCTGATAAGATAAAGGATCTATTGGGAAATGAAGCCAACTCTAGTGTGAAGATACTGTTCAAGACCAGTGATGAAAGTTTCGTCACTGTTACTGACGAAGCTCTCCAGAATCTTCAGAAGGATGGTCTGCAATATCAAGTGATAGGCGAAGATGAAAAATTAGGCGACGTTCAGGAATTGCAACTGACTAAGGATATGACCAATGCGGCAGCTGAAGATATACCACTTTTTCCGGAAACGTTTGATCTATTCGGCAATGCTCAAACAGACTCGGCAAATATCATCATTGAACCATGTAAAGTAGTGGATAACGCTGATATGCTTTTTGCTGACTGATAACAAGAGGATTTGTTTGGAAGAAGATACCTCGAAGCAGTGACATGTTGTTTGGTTTTTAGTTGTTTGCAGGGATAAATTGTATTCATTATTTGTTTCAATAAAAACAATTTCATGATTACAGTTATTGTTTTTCGGACTCCATTGCCCCACCCCTTATCAAGTACAATGACAATTAATTCAGGGGTTACCTTAATAGCTTCCTTTCGAATTAGACCAGTCAAATCATTGTGGAAATTACATACGCAAATTTGCTGAATTCCAAAAATGAGAAAGAAAAGACGAGAAAATCCCGGGTTGGTGAAGTAACAGGTGAGAAAATATGCTACAGACAGTAATATTTATGAAAGTGAAGGGGTTATTTACTACATTTTTTTTTTATTTCCAGTTCAGTCTAGAAATTTATTTTGCGATGTCAATAGAAAATACAAATCAGCGTCTAGACATGAGACACTGCGCAAATGTTTGAAGTATGATGCGTCATTCCTAATTTTACTGTGATGTGGCTTAATTGCACACAACGCGGGCGCAGTGGCGATTTCCCATAATCAAAGTTTTTGAAAACACAAAAAAGCGGGAGCTATCGTAATTTATAACTTTGATTATAACCCGTATACCGAAAGGACAACATATAAATAACTCGTCGGGCACAGCTAATAGATATACTCCATGTACACCAATACACAAAATCATCCAGATGTGATCTTGCTACTCCACCAACTTTCATTCTTCCACATCCCCTCAGACTACAGACCACTCGGATTCACAAAACATTCGAGTATACTAGCTTTCTGCAACCAACAATGCGCGCAGCTGAGTCATTCTTCCATAGATCAACGCTTACAAAACTACCTAGTCTGCAAGATGACATTTCGTTGTTTTTTACATTTTATCGGGTTTTTACATAATAGCCGTGCTGTAGGACGAACTATGTAAGGAATAAATCGTAAGGTCTCATCCATCATCTCACGCAACTTCTTCAATACAAACAGATGGCGTCAAATAGGTTAACTCTCGACTTCCCAGGCAACGCCCTTATCAGTACGTAGAGGAATATGTTCAGCACAAACTAGACTCTCAGAGGAAAAAGTCAGTCAAGCAGGTCTATACAATTAGTCCATACATATTTTTCCCTGCCCTACCGGTGGTGCATCAGAACCAGTGGCGGTTCCACTGTAGGAGCACATGAGCACGTGCACCCCTAAAATAAATAATAAAAAATATGTATAATATCCATTTAATAATTTCTCAAAGTCTGAGCCTCCCTGATATTTAATCGTGTGAGTCACCAGTCACCACCCTTACCGCTGCGCTGCCTGATTCGGGCGATTCGGACTGGCCCGGCCCGACTGCCGCCGACGGGTGACGACGGATGACGACGAATAGTCGCATTATGCGATCATGTACGCGGGATTAGTGTGTTTCTCTCCCTGCTGTTCTGGTTGCGGGGTATAGCGGGGTTATCGCAATTTTAGTTGGAAAAGACCCACACTTCTGGAGTGCGCCATTGTCCGTTGCGCGTGCATTTTATGCAGTAATTGGAGGTGTGTTCGAACTTTTATGTTCGTAGCAGTATTTTAATGAGATATTGAGTTAAAACCACAAAGGTAAATCTAGAGACTTTATTAGAAAGTTTAAAATGGAAATCTATGAAAATTAGGCAGCAGCGGTGGCCGCAGTAGTAGACTCTTCGGTCTCCTGATCAGTCGCCGTGCGCTGTGCGGGTTCGAGTCCCGTCCCAGGAGACATTTTTCTCTTGACTATGGATGTTGTGATTGTCCGTAGGTGGTAGACGGTCTCTGACTGTCGAACGCGGAGGTACCACCCGGCGGATCTCGTAGGCGGAGCCAGAATGTGTGCATGTTGCATGCACACGTGTTCCCTCGCCAGAGTCCGTGTGGCGTCCCCCCCCTTTCCACTGTATCCCCCTATAGCCCCACGGTACCCAATGGGTGTTTAGGCCTTAGGCCTTCGTGGTAGCTGGAGTATAAAAAAAAATGTAACTGGATATGTGGATGCAGCACAACAAACCGTTTGTTTTGTTTTTCCTGTTTGTTGTTTGGTCGCGGGGTTGCAGAGCCTGCCTGGACAAAAAATGGATTAGCCGACTTGGGACATTTAGTACAAAAAATTAAGAAACATGAAAACACTCAAGTCCATACCAATGCGCACGTGGAAATGCAGCTTTTGGGAAAAGTAGATATACGGCAGCAGTTGGCCAGTGCATATAGGCGCAGTATTCAACAGCAAAATGAAAAAGTTAGAAAGAATAGGTATGTACTTTCAAAAATTATTGATTGCATAAAATTTTGCGGAGCTTTTGAAGTAGCCCTCCGCGGTCACGACGAAAAAGATGGTTCAAAAATCCCGGTATTTTTAGAGGTTTCATAAATTTCACTGCCGAATTAGATATAGCACTTAAAGATCATTTTGAAAAATCTACAGTATTCAAAGGGATATCAAAAATCATGCAAAACGAATTGTTAGATTTCATGTTACAAGTGGCTCAGGAAAATATAAGAAAAGAAATTTTGGAAGCTGAATTTGTTGCTGTTATGGCTGACGAAATAACGGATGTAGCTAATTGTTATCAAATGACTACAGTATTTAGGTACATTATACCAGATGGAAGGCAAGTTGAACGTGTTTGGAATTTTGTTACCCCTCCCCCCCCCCTGACCACGATGCAGTTAGTCTCTCAGAATGTGTGAAAACTAATTTAATACAAGTGCTAGATAAACCAGAGAAACTGCTAGCTCAAAGTTATGACGGCGCTAGTGTAATGAGCGGACGTCATGGAGGTCTTCAAGCTCTTATTCAACGTGATTATATTTATGCTTATTTCGTTCATTGTTATGCCCACCAGCTAAATTTTATTTTATCGCAAGCTACAAGTCAAAATCAAGAAGTACGGGTATTTTTTTCAAATTTAAGCGATATTTCAACTTTTTTTCTCATTCTCCACAACGAGTTGCAGTTTTGGATGAAATTGTTGGTGCAAGAGTTCCTAGGTCTTCTGTTACAAGATGGAATTTTAAAAGCAGATCTATAAATACAGTATATGAATATCGCGAATTGTTAATAGAATGCATAGAAAAAATAGAAGCTACTTCAAAACAATCTGTTACCATCAATCAAGCCACTGGTATTGGCCGTATGCTACAAGATTCTAATTTAATTGGAATTAATTTACCGGCGACCTGATTTCAGAAATATGAGTGGTGCCATTAGTATGTTACAGTTTTTTATAGAAAATAATCTCCAGAGCATATTTTTGCCACCTTTACACTTTTACAAATAATTGTTACCATACCAATGACTACGGCCGAAAGTGAAAGATGCTTTTTGACATTGAAGAGAATAAAAACATTTTTGCGAAGTTCTATGAATGAAGAAAGACTGTCAGCCCTAGCAATGCTATCTATCGAGAAAAAATGTATAGCGGGTATTCCAAACTTTAACGAGGCTGTTATTGATAAATTTTCTGCAAATACAATCGAATGGACTTTACGTTTAAACACTGTACTCATTAAAAAACTTGTATTTTATTATAAATATATTTTCTTGTGTATAATAGGAAAAATAACAAAAAATATGTCCTTTCATTTCATACCACTTGTGAACCCCCTGTATCATAGACCACGAGCCGCCGCTGATCAGAACGCGTCATCTCTCCCCGATACCTAACTCGGGCAGAGTATAGAAAATACTATGCTGTTGTGCGGCAGACATACGCGTTATTCGATAACAGAACAGTTATCACGGTCGGCGAACGACGCCAACAGCAGTCGCGACCGATAGGTACGCGATCCGTCCCCTGAGAATATTTTTTCAGGGCTAATCTATAGAGAAATCTATGATGTGTGAAATATGTCTAATAGGTGCGTAGTTGGGAGCGTATAAAAGTACCATTTTTTTCAAAATTAACCCCAAAAAATTAAGTTTGAGCGATTTTAATTTATGTAGTTTTAAGCCTCTTTCTTTGCCACCACTGAACGGATTCTGAAGAAAACTACAAAGCTTTTGCGTCCTTGGCATAGAAGTGACATGGTGTAATTGCATCAAAATCCGAGAGGCATTTCTCAAGTTATAGGCGGTTATAAGATTAGCGGACAGACCGACATGGTTTTTCATGACGTGCATGTCATATAACATCCAAAAAACAATATTTTCGAAATTTTGCGCGATTACAATACAACCTTACCAGTAGGCGTGAAAAGTAAAAAACTCTTCGGGATAAAAAGTAATTAAATTGTCCCAGGACTTTTTTGAGCCAGCTATGTCTATCGATTTTAAAACATTAAAATTGCCTTGAGTATGAATGTTATTGTTAATAAATTTTGTGAAAAAAATAGTGTCAAGTAAATTGAAATGGTACCTTCTACGCATACACATGGCTTATTTTCGAATATTCCGTACCTGCAAACTGAAAATTAAAAATATTTTTATATGTACGTGAAACATGAGCCTTGCTAAAAATTAGTTTTTGTAGGACCCAGGGTCGTAGCTACCGCCATATCAGCGGCATCAATGCCCCAGGGGCCCCGGATTACAGGGGCTCGACTGTGTAAGAAGAAATTCGTAAAGTCTCATCCACCACCTCACGCATTTTTTTAAGTGGCACGCCATACTATAAATTATCAATAACTGAAGCCTTAGATCAGGGTTTCCCAACCTTTTTTTTGTTGAGGCTCCTCGGACTATAAATTATATTGTCATGCCCTCCATTAACTTTTCAATAAATACAAAATTATATAGATACAAAGACTTTTATTTTAATTCTAATAAAGAAACTTTAAAAGTTTAAATGAACTAATAAATGTTTTTTATCAAAAAACTTGAATAAAATAAGAGTAGGTGCTAATGAGACACTTGAGATTGCATGTTCTGTACCAGTTGGTTGATTCTAGGTTCTGTTTTTGTCAGAGCTATCATCAGGTCGCTATCGATATCAAGACGATTTCGCTGTTTAGCTTTAGTTGCAACTAGACCCTGTCTCACATAAGTGAATTGAAGAA